TATATATATAAAGCATTTTCTATTAACCTTTTTAAAGTTTTTGTACTTTATAGCAAGTAATATAGGAGAAGTTAACAATGATCTTAACTATTTGGGTATGAATGTAGAGTTATTTATGTTAAAAAAAGTTAAATTTAAAATAGAAACAATATAATCTCCTATTGTCTTTCATTTAGATCATTTGCTAATTTTAATCTCAAATATTTAAATTCAATATAATCTTCCAAACATTGAAAATAAATATAATTGTGAAAAATTTCATAAAGTTTAACATTAAATTATTGATTTAAAGTTAATTTATTCTTTATTTTTCTTGAGTTTTTTTAAACTAGGATATTAATCAATGATATCACAATGATCTAAAAATTTAATATAACACTAATATATATATATATATGTGTGTGTGTGTGTGTGTGTGATTATTATTATATTAAATATTTAAAAGAAAATTTTTCATATATATTCTAATTTTATTAAAGTATTATTCATGTTAACTTTTAAAAAAGTTATTATAATTTATATAACATAATTTCAATTTAACATTTTTGCTTTTATATTTTAATTCATCAGGCACCTAACAAATTTGTGCTTATATTTCTTTAATGATTAATTTTAAATGATTTGGGTTTCAATAAATTTTAATCAATAGTACAAAAATGTGCAGAATACATGTAAAAAACTTGTAACAATCCTTAAACATAACAAAATATACTGTATTTAAAATGAGATCTTATTTTATTTTATTTTATTATTATTGTTGTTGTTATTTTTCAATTTATTGCCAAATTATGATATACCTCTGACATAAATATGAATATATTATTTTTAACTCCAATACATGATACTAATTTTTAATTTAATCCAACAAATGAGAAATGAAAAAAAAATCTGAATTGATCTAACCAAGAAATGAGAAATATTGAAATGAAAATTGACTGAGAGATTGATATGCAACCCATATGATTGGCATAGTACTTTTGAATGAAATGAGATGTCTAAGTTGTCTAAGTGTGGGAGCTGCATGTACATTATTGTGGCACATAATGGTACATGAAGGACTAAGACAAAAGTTAATTATTTATTAGAGTTGTGGGCAAGTTGGATGAAGGAAGTACATAGAAAAATTTTGTTGCTGAGATAAGAGAAGCATCAAATCTGTGGTTCGGGTTAAGATTCGTGGTTAGAAAGCAGCACTAGAAGCCGGAATGTACATTGTCTCCTCTCAATATCATCACTTCACCAGCATCACAATCTTCTTGCTTTATATGCTGTCCTTACTTCTTCAATAAAATAACCCTACTCACTACTGGATATCCTCATAGATCAAACTTTTCTTTAATGGCTAATATTCCTCCCTTCATTCTCTAACTTCACACTAACAACTCACATTTCTATCTAATATATGTTTTCATTAGTTCAAAAATGAAAACTTATTACAAATATTAATTGTTCTTAGATAAGAGTAACGTGTGTGT